GCCTGAAGAACTTCATCTCTGCCACGGCGTAGGTCTCAGGCCACATTGTGCTTGGGGTGAAGAGGGCCTCTGTAGGCTGGCTGCTCACGTAGATGTCTGAATTGCCTACTTGCATCCCAAAGAGCAGCTCAACTGTCAGGCTCTGTCTGTCTCTGGTCAACTTGAATTTGCAGCAGCGGCTGGAGGGCAGCAGCACTAATTGCCAAGTGTGTGACTGAGGCAAAGCCGGCCAGGACGCTCTCACCAACTGGTAGAACCAGCGGGCAGTTTTCTCCACATCCAGGTAGGAGCCGGTGCAGAGGGTGTTTAGGAAATTGGGCTCCTCATTCCTCCTCTGCTCTTCTTCTGGGTGGTGGAGGGAGCACAGCACGTTCTCATCCTGCTGCTCCCTTGGGCAGGTGCACACCGGCTCCACGCGGATGAAGAAGTTCCTACCGGGCAACTGCCCTGAGGTGTCCATCTCCAGATGGAAGGTGTGCCCCGGGGGAGGAGTGAGGGGTACAAGGACACGGTACACCACATCCTCCTCCCGGGGACTCCAGCCTTCAAAGGCACTGCCCACCCCGATGGCTCGTTGCGGCACTGGATATGAACTGTCTGACAAGAGGTGTCCCAAGAACATCATGAAGCTGTCCATCAGGAAATTTGTCATCTCGCTGCCTTCCATCAGGTGCTCTATGTGCTCCTCTAAACGCTGTCTCAGGCTCTGGGTAATAACATCCTCTTCTACTTCATTTGCAACATCATCATCTTCTCCTTCAATTAGATCACCGATGTTGACTTCCCACAGAATCGCATCACGGTTTTCTTCCCCTTCATTTCCACCACCATCGCCATCCCCTGCCCCCTCCTCCCGGCCATTGTTGGCTGGCTGGCGGCTCCTTCTGCTGGGGATAAACCACAGCCACAAGAGGAGGCCCAGGAGTCCAGCCAGAGCCCAGAAGTCCCCCTGCTGCAAGGCAGCCCAGAGCAGGGCTCCCCAGGCCCTGACACTGCGCTCCAGGCTGCTCTGCTCCAGCTCCTGCAGCAGACGAGTCATCTCTCTGTCCAGGAGCATTGCACGCAGCTCCATGCGCAGTCGGATGTCCTCATCCAGCCCATCACCCACCATCTGTGGGTACTGGATGAGGGTTTGCAAAAGCACGAGAAGAAACATTTTCACAGCCATGGCCTGCAGGAGGAGAGAGAGAAGGGTTTGAGTGGGACTGAAAGGGAGGGAAGGAGCTAGAGGTGAGGGGAGTATGAATGGGAGCAGCGGGGATGTGGAGCAGGAAGAAGAGGGCCCCAGGGCAGCTGGTAGGCAGCAAGGTCTGTTCCACTGCCAAAGCAGCAGCAGCACCATTGGGTGCCCCAGGTGTTCTGGTGAGGGATTGGCCCTGGATGCAGAGGGAGAACCCAGCCCCAGGGGCAGCGTTTTTACCCCGGCCCTCGCCCAGCGCAGCCTCGCCCCTCTGTGTGTGTGCACTCACCACTTGTCCAGGCTCGACTGAGGCAGCGTTACCTGCTGGGGCCATCTCTAGCTGCCCCCACTGTGACACAATGCCTGTGATGTCACAACAGCCAGATCACATCACACCCAGGACAGCCCCGCCCTTCGTCCCCACCCCAGCTCAGCAACTTCCAGTGGCCCTGGTGTAATGTTTAAGGCTGCCTTGGAGTTAATCTTCTTCCAAGAACTTCCATTCTCCTTTCTTTTGCATTTATTATCATCCCTTCTTCACTGGCAGTCACATGGAAGAGCCATGTTTGAAGGGACCCTTGAGGGTGTTGGAGTCCAAGCCCGGACTCCACACTGCTTGAGCTGAAGTTAAATCTCTGAGTCACAGAGGTTGGAGAAGACCTTGGAGATCTTTTGTCCAACTGCCAACCTTATACTGCCTATTCCACCAATAAACCATATTCCCAAATGACTCATCAACAGACCCTTTAAATGCCTCCACGGATGGTTACTTAGCCTTTTCTCTGGGCACTCTGTTCCCAAACTTGATATGCTTTTTGGTGAAGGAATTTTTCCTAGGATCCAATCAAAATCTCCCCTGGCACAACTTGATGCCCTTTCCTCTTGTCGCAGTGCTTGTTCCCTGGGAGAAGAAGCCACTCCCCGCCTGGCTATCGCTTCCTTTCTGGTTGTTGTGGAGAACGATTAGGTCCCCCCTGAACTTCTTTTTCCTCATGCTAAACACACCCAGTTCTCTCAAACGCTTCTCATCAGACCTGTACTGCTGTCACCAAAAATCCTCCAGAATCCATGGGACAATAAAACCCTCTAACACTGCATTTTACTGTTAAAAAGCAAGGCATTACTTTATTCACAATCCTGAGTGTGTCCATGTCCTACAGAATCCCGACCTCTACCCAGACAACAATGCAACTGTTTTTCACCTCTTTATTAATTTTTAGGAAAGAAAGAAACAAATGTTCATTGGTTCTAAATGACATAATTCCCTTTCATTGATGAGTAATCTCTCCTCTACTGGTTATTAATTCCTCCC